TCAAAGATGTTGAACTCTACTTTTTGGTCATCGAACTCTAAAGTTAATGAACCACTAGACACGTCAATTTTTGTTTTTGCGGTCTTTAAGAAGGGTCTACCCAAAAGGATGGGTGTTGTTTGGTCATCATTTCCCATTTCAAGGACATAGAAGTCAACAGGAAAAACCATATTTTCTACTTCTACTAGCACATCTTCTATTGCACCCTTCGGGTAAGTATTAGAATGATCCGCTAGTTGAATCACTACACCTGTTTGATGTAGTGGGCCGAGTTGTAGGGATTTATAAACAGAGTAAGGAATGACATTTATAGATGCCCCTAAATCCAACAAGGCTTTAGAAAATGCGGTGTCCCCTATCTTGCAAGGTATGGTGAACATGCCCGGGTCGCTACATTTTTCGGGAAGTTTCTTTTGAAATAGAGCCGATACATGTTCGCTAACCTTGACCTCTTGTTTTTCTTTTGACTTATCCTTTCGTTTTGTTTTGCATAATTCTTTTAAAAATTTAGCAAAACGGGGAACATTTTTAATTGAGTTAAGGAGCGGAATGTTTACCTCGCACTTGGCGAATGTCTCATAGATGTCAGTATCTTTCTCCAGCTTCCTTGTCTCCATCAGTGCCTCGGGAAATGGGGCTACTGGTTCATACGATGCAAATGGTGGAAGTTTCGCCTTTGTGGTTCCCTCCTCAGATTGAGCTTCTTCTTCATGATCAACCTCCTTGATCTCTTGGTCATTTTTTTCTACCCCCTTCAACATGATTGCATTCACATGTTGTCTCGGGTTTTGCTCCGTTTGAGATGGGAGTTTACCCGAGTCCTTTGCTTCAAGACGGCTTACGGCATTTGAAATTTGGCTAACTTGGGTTTCCAAATTTTTAATGCTTGACTTCGTTTCATGTTGGAATTGTATCATGGTTTGTTGAAATTGACCCATGCTTTGTTGCATGGTAACCATGTTTGAAGTCAAAGCTCGTATCATTTCATCCGTTGACATATTAGATTGAGAGTTTGAACCTTGATTGTCAAAAGATGGTTGAGAAGATGGTTTGGATTGTTGGGAGTTTCCATACCTCAAGTTTGGATGATCTCTTAATCCAGGGTTGTAAGAGTTTGAGAATGGATCGTACCTCCTTTGTTGGTGGCCTTGGAAACCCAAGGCATTGACTTGCTCTGTATCGTTTTCTTGAAGAGTCGGGCATGAGTCAGTGGGATGCCCTTGTTGCGTACAAATGCCGCAGACCTTGACTTCTTGGGTCTTGGATTTTAAGAGGAAATCCTTAACCAAGGAAGTCAAGCCGGCAACTTGACTCTCCAGTGATGATGTCGATTCTGCCGCGGCAACTCTACGAGTTGAGGATTTGCGACCGAATTGCCGTGAGTTCTCGGCCAATTCCGAGATAAGATTTATAGCTTGTGAAGGAGTTTTATTAACAATGCCGCCTCCACAAGCGGCGTTCACCATTCTTCTATCATCATCAACAAGACCATCATAAAAGTATAAGATGAGGTCTTGTTCTGAGTAGCCATGATAGGGACAGCTAGCACATAGCTTCTTAAATCTTTCCCAAAATTCATATAAGGATTCATCATCCTTTTGCTCGATGTTGCTTATTTGCTTTTTGAGAGAAGATGAGATGGAAGCAGGATAATACCTATCGAGGAAGCACTTCTTCATTTGTGCCCATGTGTTGATGCTTCCCGAAGGAAGATAGAAAAGCCAATCCTTCGCGGTATCTTTCAAGGAGAATGGGAAGGCTCTCAGTTTTATTTGCTCTTCTGTGGCACCGTTTGGGCACATGCTTGTGCAAACGATGTGGAATTCCGAAAGATGTTTATTCGGATCTTCTCCTCTCATGCCATGGAAAGATGGCAATAAATGTATGAGCCCAGATTTCAGCTCAAATGTATTACCTTCATCAAGAGTAGGAAAGGTAATACATAGTGGTTGTTGATTCAAGTTTGGAGCTGTGAGCTCCCTCAAGGTCCTTGTCTCGAGAGCCATGTGGAATGACTCTTCGGATTCGCTAGAGCTAGCGTTTGAGGATTCCTCCGAGGGTGTGTGCGGAAACAAATTTCTCAACCTCTCGAAGGCTTGTTCTATTTTGGGGTTTGTTTGGTAAGTAAACTCGTTTATAGAACGGGTTTTTACCATATACTCATGTAAGCTCAGAAATAGAAAAAGTAAGAACTCTTTATATTTTGTTTATTTAATTTTTTTTTGATTTTTCTTGAAATAAAATAAAAAGAAAAATAATTGCCGTTCCCCGGCAACGGCGCCAAATTTGACGTGCACTTTGTCGTGGTGTGCACTCAAAGTAAATATTCAATACAACACTTATACGTAGTATAGCGTAGTAAGGTTCGTATCCACAGGGAAAGGAATACTTTTCTTTTTTATAAAACTAGTAACAAAGGGGGGGGGGGTTTAGATTTGATTTGATTTGATTTAATTAACACTAAGATGAATGACTTGGCTTTGCTTTTATCCACTTAATGAAATGTTCGTCGATCCCGGTTATATCTTTAACTATCTTCCTCTCGAATACTCAATCGAGGAGTATATCCAGTTCATCGAGGGTAGTTATTAATAACGAGAAGCGTTCATTAATAAAACTTACTATCGAGTCAATATAGAACAAGCGCCGTATATTAACTTGATAGTAGCAATAAACTTAAGATGAAAACGATTGAGATTGATAACCTCAACACAAGCGGTTTATTGGTTTAATCAATATAATTAATTCCCCTTAGATTATTAACCATGAGATGCATGCATTAATAATCCAAGTAATTTACTACCATGAAAGGACCGAATTAATAACAAGCGTATTAATCGACCGATTCTAGTATTAATTAATATATGAAACAAAACTAGTTGATCCTTTAAGTAATGTTCAAAATATTAATATGAAATATGAATAGGAATTAATTAATACTCAAGAAAGAATATTAAAGAAGATGAATCCTACTATAGTTAATATCAAGATGTTAACTAATTGTCATCTTAGTAACACTCCCCGATATTAATGTAGAGGAAGGAATAACTATTATTATAACTAATGTCAAGATGTTAACTAATTGTCATCTTAGTAACACTCCCCAACATTGATATAGAAATAGTATTTAAAGAAAGAATTAATATTCAAGAAAGAAGATTAAAGATAATAACTCACAACTTACAAATTCATTAAGCTTCAAAGGAGCAAAACCAAGATGGAAGAGTTTAGCTCCTCATTTGGAGACTAAACATGCTATAAAAATATAAAAGAAATACTATTCTAAACTGAGCTTAAGAGTATGGAAGAAGGGATTCTTTTTAGTGAAGGAAAAGTGTGCTATTTATAGGTGTTTTTCAACACCTTTGGCCGAGTACCCGACCGGGTAGAGTATCTACCCGACCGGGTACCGGTCCGAATCAAATATTTTCCACGTTCTAGTGTTCTTCAGCACGTCGGGTTGTCTTCGGTCAAGTCTCACCCGACCGGGTGAGGTATAGGGCCCGACCGGGCCGAGCAATTTCCTGGAGACTACAAATGTTAATTCAAACCCGACCGGGTGAAGGTTTCTACCCGGTCGGGTTTATACTTCTGGGCAGCATTCTCCTTGTTTTTCTTCCTTTTCCTTGCCAACAATTCTACCAAAACTTCCTAACCCACAAATAAAAGCTAAAAACACTTGCAAATAAAAAGTAAACAAATGTTTACAACTACACACAAATGGTAAACAATCCACACAAAACAAGATATAAAAATACACATTTATGCACTACTAACTAGTGCATATCACTTCGGGAACCTGCCAGACTTCTCCCTTGGATATTTGGGATGTATATTGAGGGAACATTTGTGATGTTAGCTCGCCCCAATATCCCAACAACCATCTTCATCTTTAATGATGTTAGCTCGCCCCAATATCCCAACAACCATCTTCATCTTTTCCCATCTTCCCTGCTTGATCTTTCATTTCTTAAAATTCAATGGAGATAAAAGTCGGTGAAAATCAAATCGGAGTGAAGAATGTCTGTACTTTGTAGTTTGTACATTTCTCGTTTGTAGCAATCATTTTTTCCGGTCAGAGACAACTAACAAGAATTGTAGCTCGTCTTTCGTCTATTGTAGATATTATTAAAAGTAGCTTGTCTATCACTATGAGTTTTTAATCAAATTTTCTCGTATATTTAATAAACCATTATTTTAGTTCAATATGTCTTACTCCCTCCGTCCCGCTAAGATTGTCCCATTTTACCTTTTCGGGAAATCCCACTAAGATTGTCCCATACCAAATTTGGTAAATTTTGTGTGGCTCTAAATCATTTTTACTTTATTCTTACTTTATCAATTTAATATCAACCACACATACCCACTTTTTTTAATAATCGTGCCACCTTTTCTTGTCCCAATCTTAGTGGGACGGAGGTAGTAATAAATAAATGGAAAATGTACCAATATATCCGTTGAAGATGAGGGTGACAACAAATATATACATGTTCTCATGAATAGAAGTACAATTCTACCTTTACCCATACATAAATGGAATTACTAAGAGCATCTCCAATGCTATAATGTGCACGGTGCACATGTGGCATGCGTCATAGCCACATAAATATTAGGAAATAAATAATCTCTCTCCTTATTTGAATGATTTTACATCATTTTGGTAAGTTTTTCCCTGCAATGTCAACAACAATGTCAACATCTAGACGGTCTCCTTGACATTGAGGAGAAAAACTTACCAAAACTATATAAAATCGTTCAAATAAGGAGAGAAAGAATTTATTTACTAATATTTATGTGGTTATTTCTCATGCCACGTGTGCACCGTGCACATTTTACCATTGGAGATGCTCTAAGATTCCTTAACACTTTGCATGTTAAGTCCTAACCAAAGCCAATATCATGAGTTTGGGTTCAAACTTCAAAAGAAACCTCTTTTAGCATTCCGTACAATGATAGCCCGCTCGTGGGCTGACTCTCATAATTGACCGCTCGGCGACCTCTAAAACCCCATTCGCCCCTTTCTTTCTCCCTAAAAAGCCATTTTTGACCGAGGAAAAGGCCGCCACTCTCCGCCGCCACATTCAAAATGCAAGAATCCCACTCCCACTACTACGACAACGAAACCTATGACAACACCTTCCGGCCGCCTCCGCCTCCAAATCCCCGTCCTCCCTACTCGCCGACCGCCTGCGTCGCCTTCCGCCTCCTCTGCCACACCTCCCGCGTCGGCGGCATCATCGGCAAGAACGGCTGCATCGTCAAGCAGCTTCAGCAAGAAACCTGTGCCCGGATTCGAGTCGAGGACCCGTGCGGCAACTCCGACGACAACCGGGTCATTGTCATCATAGCTTCTCCTTTGGTGAACCGGAGGATTACGTTCTCCTCCCCCAGGGGAGATGACGAAGCGAGTACAAATAGTTCCGGGAATGGCGATGAATTTGAAGTCTCGGCGGCGCAGGAAGCCGTAGTTAGGGTTTTTGAGAGGGTAATTGAAGTGACGGCAGAGACTGTCGGGATGGTATTGGGCGATGGAAGTTTAGTTTCTTGTAGGCTTATTGCGAAGGGTAATCAGGTAGGGTCTGTGATTGGTAAAGGAGGAATGGTTGTTGATACAATCAGGAAGGATACCGGTTGTAGGATTAATGTCTTAACATTGGAAAATCTTCCGGCTTGCACCTACCCTGGTGACAAAGTGGTGGAAGTATGTTTCTCTCTTTCTCTCTAATGTATTTGTGTATTCTTTTTTAATCATGCTATTTGAGGAGTACATGAAATTTTGTATGAACCAATTGGCTTGTTTATTTCTTGAAGTTGGACTTTTGTCTGTGACCAAGTTGGGTGTAGTGTGTATTTCTTTGTGATGGGTATTTTTCTTAATAAGAAAAAAGTAATCTTTTTCTTTCCTGCCGAGAAAAGAAGTTTTGAGAACTTTCACATATTTTCTCATTCAAGAGTTAATCACTCCATTGCAGATTGAAGGTGAAATTCTTGGTGTTAAGAAAGCACTTATTGCTATCACTAGCAGGTTTCAAGATTGGGTGCCACCAGAGAGAACAGCCATTAGTGACAACAGAGTTGATGATTTTTGTCAGGAATCATCACAAGTTAGTTTTCCTGAACAAAGAAGCTCTATGCAAGTTACTATCTCTCCTCATACAGGTGGTAACCTTTTCTCACCGAGAAACGATAGTTCTTCCAATTTTTTGTCAAACCAAGAGGTCGCTTTCAAGATACTCTGTATGGCTGATATAGTGGGGCTTATTATTGGCAAGGGAGGATCCATTGTTAAGGCTCTTGAAAATGAAACGGGTTCATTTATCAGGGTTGGGCCAATCATACCACGTTGTTCTGAACGGGTGATAACCATTTCAGCATTTGAGGTTTGACCATTTGACTTATTTCACATTTCCATCTTTTTTCATCTTTTATACAGTAATATATTATTTAATGCACTTAACACTTCATCTTAAATTGAAGGGATAGAAAACAAAACAAAAGACTTTTTTCAAGGATCAAAAACAAAAAAAATTTGATGAAAAGCATATTTAAGCCTTTATGCTTGTATGTGTAATTGTGTATATCACATTATGCTAACTATTATTTTTTGGGTGAATAGAATTTAGAATCTCATCAATCCCCGGCACGGCATGGTGTTATTCTTGTTTTCAATAAACTTGCGGACATCAACTCTGAGAAGGTTTTGAATTTGTGCTCAAAGGGGGCATTTGTTACAGCTCGACTTGTTGTGCCAGCATATCAAGCTGGGTGCTTGTTGGGAAAAGGAGGTGCAATAATAGCAGAGATGAGAAAGATCACTGGTGCTCGCATCATAATACATAAGGGTGACCAAGTTCCGTTGTGTGTTCCAGAGAATGATGAAGTGGTAGAGGTATGGTTTGTTATGATAATGTGGTGCCTAATTGTTCACAATTGATTTGTTTTTTTTTTTAAACTTCACAACTGATTTGTTATAATTTACTTTTTTTAACTTTTCAACCATACATGCACAAACTTTTGGACTCACAACCTTTAAAAGAGCTGAACACGACAAAGCCTTAATTATTTTACCTGAACCAGCCATGTTTTTTCCATGAATTAGTCATGAATACTATATGGGGTTTGAGGCTTATGGCTTTCTTTTGTAAGATTGTTCCCTTCCACTCTTCCAGACACTCATGTGGTATGTTTGGGTTTTGAAAAATGATTGGGAAGGGGGGATATGCTTATGAAATCTATTTCTGTGTAGTTGTGTGTGTTTGGCTTCTTTACCTTGTGAAAGGCAGAAAAATGAATCATGATTAATATTATTAATCCTTTTTTATGTATGTTCACATTTCATAGCCTTTGTGTAATAGAAATAGAATGGGTTTGAATATAAAAAATAAATTTATCGAGCTTTAACCAGTGATTTATTTTCCCTTACCTTTGATTTTCACTAAACTTCTCCCACATTCCTTTCATATTTTCTTTCCCTAACCATTTCCAAGTTCCAAATGGATCTTCAATGAGTGGGAGCTTGGCACTGGGTAAAGTTTGATAACATAAAAAGTTTTCATATTTTAGGGTCAAAGTTTCACCAAGGCAAATGGATCTTCAATGAGTTTCATAAACTCATTTATCTTCAAAGTTTGAGTGCATTCATAAAGTTCACTAGGGGGAAATGGATCTTCAATGAGTTCACTAAACTCAAAGTTTCATAAAGTTTGAGTGCATTCACATTTTAGGGTCAGTTTGGAAGTTGGGTTTGGAGGGAGAGCCTTGGGAACTTAGAAAGGCTAGCATATACTATCGTATCTTGATAACACACATGTTTATATACGTACATAATTTTCACCTTTTATCAAGCTTTGGGAACATGGAAAGTCAAGATATGTACATCTTCGGGATTTCATTTATATATCTTGACATATACGCTTGATATAATAGAAAGTTGGGTTTGGAGGGAGAGCCTTGGTAACATGGAAAGGCTAGCATATATCTTGATAACACACATGTTTATATATGTTCAAAATTTTCACCTTTTTATCAAGCTTTGGGAACATGGAAAGTCAAGATATGTACATCTTCGGGATTTCGGGTATATATCTTGACATATACGCTTGATATCAATTCTCACACACCTATACAAACACACATACATATACACATACATGTACATATATCCGTATGTAAATGAAAGTTGAAGGAATAATATAATATGTGATAATTTGATATTTAAGTTGCTCTTTGTTCATTATAAATCATAAAATCTCTCAGTACATAGACTAAAACTCATTCCAATCCGACATTTACCCATCCCATACTCCCCATCCTAACATATACTCAATGTACAACAGTAAAGTAAATACTGAAATTTCCAACATGGTTGTATGTTGACATTTTAAACTTATGGGTTTCTTTTGGTAGATTACAGGGGAATTCTCAAATGTTCAAGATGCTCTATGTAGTGTCACTGCTAAGCTCCGCAATAACTTATTGCAAGCAAAGTCAAATGAAAATAGTCCTCATGGCAGAATGAATCTCCATTGTGACCTATCACAAAGCATGGGCAATCTTAGAATTTCGCACAACACTAATGGGTTGCGGTCGCCAAATTTTAGGCAACCACAAATAAGAATAAATCAGGGAGGTTCTCCCAATTTCGGCAGAGGGTTCACATCAGATAATGGCGGGTTAGAGCTTGGCAGGTTGATTGGTAAAGACTTTTCCTCTATTTAATTGGTCCTTTAACATCATTTTCACCTTTTGCTTCTGCTTTTTCATTTTGGAACAGGTCTGCCTTTGTGACAAATACAACTGTGGAGATGGTAGTGTCCGAAAGCGTTATTAGGTCTGTTTATGGGCAGAATGGCAGCAACTTGGAACGTTTGAGACAGGTTTCATTTCCTATACTTTTAGGAAGATGTCTAATTTAAATCATGCAATCATCATTATGCTACAAGCGTATTCGCGTAGCTCACCATATTGACAATTATACATGTGGTATGTTTGAGCTAACAGATTTCTGGGGCAAAGGTGATGATGTGTGAGCATACTCCTGGAACAAGTTGTAGGACTGTTGTGATCTCCGGAACGCCTGAAGAAACACAATCAGCTCAGAACCTCCTTAAGAACCTCATAATGAATGGATCATCATAACGACAACTCCCTGGCGGTTATTAAACCCAAACACGTTGAACTGAATTTTGGATAGTCTATCATACCCAGGAAGGGGAGGTAGGCATAGGAAAAAAAGGGTTCCTCTCTGTATTTTGGATTGTTTTTACCAATTATTGTAAGACAATTAAGTTACATTTTATTTATGAATATGTTTATCTTTCTTGAAAACCTTAGCTCTACCACTCTTATCAGTTATCATCATACCAGCAGATCTGACTCCCGAGTATACTCAGAGTTCTGGCTTTATTGAAAACATCCCAGTTCTGGTTTTGGGCTATGTTTAAAAAACTGACCCGACCAGGCCGGGTCGATCTGGAACCCGGTGGTCCAGATCAAAACCCGGTTCGGTTAATTAAAAACCCGGAAATGGTCAAAAATCGGAAAAATCCGGCCGAACCGGAAAAACCCGGTCCAAACCCGGACTCGAAAACCCCTATTAACCCGGAAAAACCCGATTTTGGTTGTTTTTTTAATTTTTTAAAAAAATCTAAAGCATTTTTAACCAATAAAATTTCAATTTTAATACCGTAAAAGAATATGCAATATATTTATACACTTATTTGTTTAAGAATTAAAATCATGTCAAATTATATAATAAATTTACATTATATATTTTAAAAACGTCCAAATGATATTTTGGAAATTGGAATATTATGAGATCAATTTAACTTTTAGATGTTTAGTAAGTATTATTATTAGTTGATTATTATTATGAAATAATAACTACCTTCTATTTGAACTTTGTATACACGTATATGTTTATTATTGTTATATAGTTGACTGGTTTTATGGCGTCGACCGAGTTGATCCAACCGGGTTCGGGTTGACCCGTGATCCGATCATGCGGCCGGGTCACTCCCTGAATGGGCTCCCTAATGGAAGAATCCAGAACCAGTAATACTAGTAGTCTGGTAACAGCTTTGTTCTACCTGATCTTGTACCTTTTTCTAAAAAAAGAAACGGTACCTCAACTGATTAGGGCGTGGTCTCAGAATAGAAAATAGTTGGTTAGTGGTTACCAATACCAGTTCTAATTCGGGACTGGTTGGCTGGTTCAGTTTGAAGTTAAAAATGGTCAGTTTGAGCCTGGTTATGATCCATGACTATGGATGGACATTGGACAGTGGACACAGTTCCGGTTTTGGAACTGGAAACAACACCGGGAGCCAAGATTACTTGGGACCATGCCTCAGTGAAGATTACTGCACCGATTTTGACCCTGGTTATTTGATTTTAAAAAAGTGTTTGACACTTTACAATCATCGTATTGTAACAAGTTTGGGACCAAAACCAAACCATACTATGCTTTGGTTCAGTTCGGTTTCTGATTGTTCGATTAATTTCGGATTTGTTGTTCTTTGAAAAAAAATACTATGTATAAAATCGAATCAAATTGCATATGATTTGGTTTTATTTCAGTTTGGTATGGTTCGGTTCGGTTAATTCAAACTGAATTGCTCACCTCTACATGTGGCTATGCCGACTTGATTCCAGAACAAAGAGTTCTTTACCTAGGGCAGAACTAAATATTGGAAGAGGGAGTCACAAGATAGAGGTTCTTGATTTAATTCAGGTAAAGACTTGGGTTGAAACTCAACTCTCATCATCAGTCAATGATCGAAACTCAATTTGATATTGTTATCCTTAGAGCATCTCCAATGCTACAATGTGCACAGTGCACATGTGACATGAAAAATGGTCATCCAAACATTAACAAATAAATTATATCTCTCCTTATTTGAATGATTTTATACAATCTTGGTAAGTTTTTCTCTGCAATGTCAAGGAGACCGTCTAGATGTAGACATTGTGGTTGACGTTGTTAATAAAAACTTACCAAAATTGTATAAAATCATTCAAATAAGGAAAGATATAACTTATTCCATTATATTTATGTGACTATATCTCATGCCACATGTGCACCGTGCACATCATAGCATTGGAGATGCTCTTATAGAGCTAAGTATTGGAGTATGGTGTGAAATTGTAAATTCACACCACTAAAAGTATATAAAGTCAAGGGGGACGAAATTTTTTCATTAGTGTAGGGGTGGAAATTTTCTGCTAGTGTAGCAGGGTTTCGCTAGTGTAGCGGGGTGAAATATTTTCTCTAGTGTAGGACTCTGCAGCTAAATTTTGTTCAAAAAATTCCAATGAAGTATTACATAATGTGAACTTATATATTAATTTTGAAAATTAAATGATAAGGGGGGCGAAAACATGTATATCTAACTAAAGTATGAAAATATTACATATGTAATAGAAAATTTTGAAAGTCCAATGGGGCGGTCCCCCCTAAATTGCAGACCATATTTATTTTGAAAATGGGGGTGAACACTAAGACACCACATTATCCCAACATTTACTCTCTCGGTCTCTCCTCTATGGCTCTATCTAACAAATACGGAGTATTTTATAAGCTTAGTTGCATAAAAAATCAATAAAAAAATGGGGAAAATATTTGAACGATGTTTGTAGTAAAATGATTTTATTATTACTACATGTTTTTATATAGGGTAATTTGAATTTGCACCCCATATTATAGTTCAAATTGGACTTTGCACCCCGTTCTTAAAAGACCGTTTTTGCACCCCAACCACATATTAAAAGACAAAAATGCCCTCGGAACATGTTGAAGGCCAAAATTATTGTTAATGGAGGGGCATTTTTGTCTTTTCATATGATGTTGGGTACAAAAATAAAGATATTTAGAACCGGGGTGCAAAGTCCAAATTGAACAATAAAATGGGGCGCAAACTCAAATTATCCCTTTTATATATACAAATTCTTTGTCTAATATTATAATATTGAATGATTGAGTAAATTGAACAAGGTAGTATTCAGTCCACACTCACATAATAAAAATGGTTACATAATGAGTAGAGGCATATATGTTTTGAACTGTGTAGAAGCAATGCAAGAAAAACTCGACTTGCCACCGATCTGCTTTACTCAACTCTGATATGGTGGGGAGGCGTGGAGGGAAATTTCGACATTTTCATGAACTCCCTGTAGTAGCAGCTCACTATCATATGTTAAGACTTTGCGCTTCTTGGCAGCTTTCAATGTCCCAACCAGTGCCTCAAAGAGGTTAGCACACCGATCGTCATGAAATAGCACTCCAAATGTTACCTATACTCAGCCCAAAACACACTTATAAACAATCAATATTATTATGTGCATCACAATGATGAAGACAAGACATTCACAGTTTAGAAGAGTATGGCTCCCTTTGGTAGCCAAACTTGTTTGGCTTATTACCAAATGATTTCCCTCTTAGCTATTTTAGAGGCATGACCTAGCCAAATAACTCTCTAACAAAGAAGTGATATATATCTCTTAAGCATTACATGAGAAGAGGATCTACGTTAGGGATGTGGTGGGCTGTAATCCAGGACAAATGGACAACCTATTTATTTTCATTTTTTACCAATCTTTTTTTTCATATTTAGCCTACATCACCAATGTTTAAGTCACAAATGTTTAAGTCTAGTATAATAAGGGTATGTAATCTTTCACTACACATATACGGAGCATGTACTTTTTCATCAATCATAGCACAGAAACGGATGGATTATGATTTGTACAGAATGTAATTAGTTTGTGTGAGAGTGAAGAAGCTAAGGTGACTCTCTTTTAATGGTGAATTTAAACCTTTATCTTACAATGTTTCAACCGGCACCTATGCAATATTGATCAACCTTTAGACAAAAAAGTGAATGATTTTGATCTGTTCATTCTTTCACCTAGCTAATGAATTAGGTTCTATAACCAGTTAACAAACCTCAAGTATTGTTTTATTATCTAATAGTTAATAGTTAAAACAGTATCTATATGCATAATTATTGAGATAATACACCACTGTACCTATTGAAACCTTCACCATATATGTGTTTTGAGTAGGGTATTAGTACCTCTTTTATAATGGTCATACATAAGCACTAATTTAAGTGTGACTATCAAATGCAAAGGTAAAATGATCCCAATCATTTAATCTTGAATGCAACTGTTGAAATCTAGGTTCTATTCATGGGTACTTTGTGTAGTCTCCATTGAAATCAGACATAAAATTAGGGACTTGATGTAAATTATGTGAGAGAATGGATCTGATAAATCAAGATAGATCATATTTAGTGAATTGGGGAAGGAAGGTACCTTGTAAGAGCCATCTTCTTTTTTGTTGCCCAGGCGCTTGATCTCTTCTTTGAGCTTCTCAACCTCTTCATCCACGTTCATGGTTTCACTCACTCTCCTGCACTTCAAGGGAGTTATCTCTCTAGCAAACTGCTTGGATATTGTCGTCTCCCATTATTATTGTTAGATACAATTATTGACCCACCCATAAAAAGAATTTCTAAAATGATTTTGAGTATCATTTTGTAATCACTTTCAATTTCATTTTATTCTTAAAAGATTTTGAGTGTGAATTTCTAATCACTTTCGGTTTTGTTTTTGCTGTTCTACGTACCTTTGTTTATAAATACATAAATTTTAATTATTAATACTAATCTAATATCAACGTATGAATTGTTGTGAAATGAAGAAGATGAAGAACAAATTTAAGAGATAGATATATTATTAATAACCTCTAAATAACTTCTTCTTTATCTCTGAGATTTCTGATTTTCTGAATTTCTAAGTGCATTTACAAGGCATCACCAAACCCCTATTTATACTGATGGAGCTTGGTGATGAATCATCAAAGAATCATTCTACATAATATGCTGGCAACATTAAACCTAGCCATCTGTTTATTACAAGGATGGAAATTGGATTAGTGTCTTGATGACAAGGATGAACAATTCACACTTGTCATTCTCAGGAATTTACAACACTACCCCTTGAATGTTCATCCTTGAATAGTTATTTGTTATTTAAAAACTTGTTGTGAAATTAAGGGGTAAAAATTACGACTTATAATGTCATTCTATTTGGATGTACTGTCTCGTTAAAAACCTTATCAGGAAAAACCCAGTGGGATAAAAACCTGATGAAGGGAAAAAGAGTGCAGTGCATTCAAATACTCCCCCTGAATTTAGTATAAAGTTTGAAGGCGGCACATGCCGATTTTCTTCGGGGGTAAAGATTTGGTGAAGAGATCGGCCGGATTTTCACTCGATCTGATTTGTTGAATGTTGATTGTCCCTTCTTTCTCCAGATCATGAGTAGAGAAGAATTTCGGTGATATGTGTTTCGTTCTGTCTCCTTTGATGTAACCTTCTTTAATCTGAGCTATGCACGCAGTGTTGTCTTCGTAGATCACAGTCGGGTGACAAGTAATAGGTTTCATACCGCATTCATTTTGGATGTGTTGAATCATAGATCGCAGCCATACACATTCTCTTCCGGATTCATATAGTGCAATTAACTCCGAATGATTTGATGATGTAGCTGTCAACGTCTGTTTCATAGATCTCCACGAGATTGCGGTGTTACCATAAGTAAATACGTACCCGGTTTGTGATTTCGCCTCTTGAGGATCTGATAAATATCCGGCGTCTGCATATCCGATTAAAGAAGCTGTTGCATCTTTGTGGTAGAATAGGCCGAGATCAACTGTACCACGGAGATAACGGAATATGTACTTGATCCCGTTCCAATGACGTCTTGTTGGACATGAGTTGTACCTAGCTAATAAATTTACAGAAAATGCAATATCTGGTCTAGTATTATTAGCTAAATACATTAATGCTCCAATAGCACTCAAATATGGTACTCCGGGACCGAGTATTTCTTCGTCATCTTCTCGGGGACGGAATGGATCATCATGTATGTTGAGAGATCGAACGACCATGGGTGAGGTCAACGGATGAGCTTTGTCCATATAGAATCTCTTCAACACTTTCTCGGTGTAATTGGATTGGTGGATGAAAATTCCATTCTTCAAATGCTCAATTAGAAGTCCGAGACAAAATTTGGTTCTCCCGAGATCTTTCATTTCAAATTCTTTCATAAGATATTTTGCAGTATTTTCAATTTCATCGGGAGTTCCAATAATGTTTAAGTCATCAACATATACTGCAATTATGACGAATCCCGAATTTGATCGCCGAATGAAAACACATGGACTAATCGGATCATTCTTATATCCTTCTTTGAGAAGGTATTCACTGAGACGATTATACCACATTCGTCCAGATTGTTTTAATCCATACAATGACTTTTGTAATTTAATGGAAAACATGTCTCGAGGTTTCGAGCTATAAGCTTCAGGCATTTTAAATCCACCGGGAACTTTCATGTAAATGTCTGTATCAAGTGAACCATATAGATAGGCGGTCACTACATCCATTAGGCGCATTTGCAGCCTTTCAAAAACAGACATGCCAATGAGAAACCTTAATGTAGTTGAATCAACTACTGGAGAATAGGTTTCTTCATAATCGATTCCCGGCATTTGAGAAAAACCTTGGGCAACAAGTCGGGCTTTATATCTAACAATTTCATTCTTTTCATTGCGTTTACGCACAAATACCCATTTAAAACCCACAGGTTTTACGCCTTTTGGCGTAGGGACTATCGGTCCAAAAACATCACGTTTTTCAAGTGATTTTAATTCAGCTTGAATAGCTTCATTCCATTTTGGCCAATCGTGTCGTTTCCGACATTCTTCTATTGATGTTGGCTCATTGTCATTGTTTTCATTCATAACATTTGTGGCAACAGCATAGACAAATATCTCATTAATATCAATATCTTTTCGATTCCATTGCATTCCAGTAGAAACGTAATTTATTGAAATTTCATAATTATCAACGTTTCTATCATTATCTGGAACATCTTCCTCATTTAAGGAAGTTGGATCATCATTTAAGATGTTTGTTTTGTCAATATCATTTTCTATGCCAGTATTTTCAAATTGTTCATGTTCTTGTTCAGAAGGATGAACATCTTTGGCATCACAGATCGATTCCTGCCTTTTAGTTTTTCTTGGTTTTATGTCTTTTGATCCAAGTGGCCTGCCACGCTTTTTGTGTACAGAAGAATCATTTGCAAGAGATTTTTCAAAATTCTCTGCAGGAATTTCGATTCTGGCAGGAGCATTCATAGCAGGAATATGTGACTTTGTCACTTTCTTTGTATCTGTGAATGCATCAGGCAACTGATTTTCAACATTTTGTAAATGAATTATCTTTTGCACCTCTTGCTCACATATATTTGATCTAGAATCAAGGTGTGATAATTCTGTTGCATTCCATGTTATTTCTTTCGTACTTGGGTCCAATTTATTAGTTTCTCCCCCTAAGGTTGGGAATACTGTCTCATTGAAATGACAGTCAGTGAACCGTGCGGTGAATAAGTCACCAGTCATCGGTTCAAGATATTTGATTATAGAGGGAGATTCAAATCCAACGTAAATTCCCAACCTTCTTTGAGGACCCATTTTTATACGATGAGGTGGAGCAATCGGAACATAAACAGCACAACCAAATATTTTTATGTGTGCTAAGTTTGGCTCTTGTCCAGTAACTAATTGCATTGAGGAATATTCATGATATGCAGTCGGTCTAAGCCGAATTAAATTTGCTGCATGCAAAATAGCATGTCCCCAAGCTGATGAAGGTAAATTACACTTCATTAATAGTGGTCTAGCGATTAATTGTAATCGTTTAATCAAAGATTCAGCAAGACCATTTTGTGTATGGACATGAGCAACAGGGTGCTCCACATCAATCCCAATCGACATACAATAGTCGTTAAATGATTGAGAAGTAAATTCTCCTGCATTATCAAGTCGGATTCTCTTTATAGAATGATCCGGAAAATGAGCTCTTGATCGTATAATTTGAGCGAGGAGTTTAGCAAATGCTAAATTTCTAGTCGATAAAAGACTAACATGTGACCAACGTGTTGAAGCATCAATCAACACCATAAAATATCGAAATGGTCCACATGGTGGGGCTATCGGCCCACAAATATCTCCTTGAATCCTTTCTAAAAATGCAGGTGATTCAGTTGCAATTTTGTTCATAGAAGGCCTGATGATCATTTTGCCAAGAGAACAGGCCTTACAAGGAAAATCACTTGATAATGGAACCCTGATATTCTTTAATGGGTGTCCAAGTGAAGTCTTAATGATTTTATGCATCATTACTTGGCCTGGGTGACCTAAACGGTCATGCCACAACATGAATGTTTTCTGATCATCTAACTTTGTGTTAGAAACCAAATTTATTTCGAATGGACTAATATATGTGAAATATAGTCCTGAGGAATAAGCTGGCATTTTTTCACAAATACATTTAGTGCCAGATTTAGTTGTCGTTAGACAAAGATATTCCTTTTGGTTTTCATTCATGGTTTCTATGTGATAACCATTTTGACGCATATCTTTAAAGCTTAATAAATTTCTCCGCGACTTGCTGGAGTATAAAGCGTCATTTATAAGTAATTTTGTCCCATTAGGGAGCATCACATATGCTTTCCCAGAGCCTTCAATGAGCTTCGCAACACCTGATATTGTATTGACTTTAGCCTCAACTAAAGTCATTTGAGAAAAATATATTTTATTTCTCAAAATGGTGTGCGTTGTGGCGCTGTCTATCAGACATAGCTCTTTATCACTTGAGTGATCCATATCTTCAATATATGTAAATAAACATAAGCTTGACCACAAATTATGCATATTATTTAACATAAGAGTACATATATTACACACATTTATTTAAAAAGGGGAAAAGAGAAAAAGTACATAAAACTAGTATTTTATAATATCAGGAGTCTAATATTTTATTTTGTAGCATTTTGATTTACGGCAAAAGCATCATCCATAATGGCATCATCCATTAAAATAATGTCTTCCAATGTCACTCTGTGTTGCATTTGATTCAGTGACTAAATTATGGTCAGATGGACTATAAACAGAAGAACTATAACCGATGGATCACAAATTGTGGTTCTTCATCAAAAGGTCATTATTTTGCTCAGCTATCAGTAATACTGATATTAGGTCAGAGTATTTTATAAAACCCTTTTCTCTATATTGCAGTTGGAGCAACATATTAGAAACATGCATAGTGGAAAAGGTTTTCTCTAACATATCAGTGTCAGTGACTTTTTGTCCACATAACTTTAGTTTGGATGTTATATGGGACATAGCAGAGTTATAGTCACTGATAGATTTAAAGTCCCGGAATCTTAGATTGATCCAGTCATACTGAGCTTCAGGTAAAAGGACCTTTTGTTGCTGGTCTTCCACATTCCATTCCAAATAATTTTGTCCGGACAGATCAGAAACATTGAATTCTCTTCTGCTAATATTTGTCATAATAATACTACAAAGTTTATTGACGTAAATTATTACTAACATGCAATAATTATTTTAATTTATTATTTAAGTATATATGAATATATAAAGCATGCATAATAGTAATAAACGTAAAGTAAATAAATTTTGTTAAGTATTGACATATATGTAGTATGTTGTAGTATGTACTAACTAGTCCAGTAATACACGAAATATACTAATTCCATTTAATTCTGTTTTCTTACATTTTACACATATGGAATTGACTAAGTGGACAACCTATGTGCAGTCCTATTTTGGACATATGGTAGTACGTACATTAGGCACGTATTGATGTACTCAGTAAATAAGAACCGTGACTCTTTGGACTCTAGTCAATTAAGCAAGTAAAATTTGACTAGCAAATTATAAGTGATCGATATCATGACACATGTACGTGCATGTATTCATAAAGTACACGTATTACTCATCATGGTTGTCAAATATTATACTCAGTATATTATGTGCACAGAATATTAATTGAAAACCTGTCATTTAGTTATTTTGTTTATTAATTTAAACATTCTAACCGAACTTTCAGCATAAACATAATATTGAATAAAGAATACTTGTTCATGTTCAGATCTCGTGACTATTGCATGAGGATACCAACAAAAACTTTATCAGTTTTTTTGTGACTGAAGAAAACAAAAGAAATACAATTTTTTATTTGATGTTCTGATCATACTCAGAAGTTCTGTGCACCGTTTCGATTTTCAAATCAAAGTTACTCCGTGACTATTTTATACTTCGCATATTCCATCTATTATATATTTGAACTACTCCATAATTTGTTTCTTGTTTGCTCCCATTCTATAATCACTATTCATGGGAAATAGCCTAGTATTGTAACTCTATTATTTATCCGTATTATTCTTTCTTTCTTCTGAGAATAACCAAGTCATGACTCTAGTACTTTTATTTCATCTCTTTATATACGGAGTATGAGTCTACTTTTGTCTCCTACTCGAGCTTTCATCTTCCTTAGAGTAGTCCGTATTATTTACGTACTGATCAGTAATATTAGAGAGTATCCAAATTGAAGATGGGGTGATATATACTCTTAAAGGTACGTATGTCGTTATACAATTTCCTCTTCTCCTTTAAGAGCTTTATTAAAATTGATTAAAGAAATCAAATTGTTAAGAGGTATGTTATCTATATTTTCTTTTCGTATATGATAGAAAAGTATTTAAACTTAGAATAGTTTGCTGGTTCAAATATTAAAAGAAGATAATATATATTAATGTTAATACCTGCAGGAGATGATATAATTCTTGAAGAGTTTTGAGCAGATTCGTGCTGATAACGTGTTGTGAAATGAAGAAGATGAAGAACAAATTTAAGAGATAGATATATTATTAATAACCTCTAAATAACTTCTTCTTTATCTCTGAGATTTCTGATTTTCTGAATTTCTAAGTGCATTTACAAGGCATCACCAAACCCCTATTTATACTGATGGAGCTTGGTGATGAATCATCAAAGAATCATTCTACATAATATGCTGGCAACATTAAACCTAGCCATCTGTTTATTACAAGGATGGAAATTGGATTAGTGTCTTGATGACAAGGATGAACAATTCACACTTGTCATTCTCAGGAATTTACAACATGAATAACTTTTTTATCCTCATAGTCTATTTTTTGAAAATCAAATTGGGACAATGCAAGGTAAAGTTGTTGAATCGGTAAAAAAAAGGACAAAGAACCTCCAGGGGCGGTCCTGTCCTTTTGGGCCTATGGGCGATATACTATTTTGGCCTTTTTTCCAAGACAAACAGTAAATTATACTCCGTACTTAATTAAAGTAAAAATTATGGAGTAAAATAAAACTAGAAGAAATTACTCTAAATACGACTAAAAACGTTTGTATATTCCAAACTAAGATTATCATGTTTTTGTTCTCTAAATAGAAGTAATTAATGTCATATTTTGGCAGTATCATATTTTACACATGGTAGTATTTTCCCAACATGACAGCAAATACTCCTATTCAGAAAATAAACACATGACAGTCCTATTTTGAAATTCTAAAAAAATATTACTCCTATTTCTGGAATTCTCCCTACAACTATCTAATAAAGGTTATAAAATAAAGATAAAATTCACCTGATGGAGTATATGGCCCAGGAACCCCCGGCCCAAAGACTCCTACTTCTCCTACACAAGTCCGTGAGCCCAGAGAACAACTCAGGCCCAAATGCAACAGCCCAAGCCTCGAAACAGTCCAGAATACACACTGGGGGTGCCTTCGGCTTCCCTGGCCGAAGGCTCCAAAACTCACAGGATGGCCTTCTCTGGCATAAGAAGCTACCGGGAGAAAGCGGCGAAAAACGTGAGCCTTCGGCATTATCAAGCCCCCGGCATCAGAGAAGCCTTCGGCCACACGGAGCCTTCGGTCACAGGAGGCCTTCGGCTACACAGGGGTCCTGGTCGCATGGAGCCCTCGGCTACACCAGGAGCCTTCGGCTAAACATGCTCAATCATCAAAGATTCCTTTTGGAGACAGCCAACCACCGCATTTAATGCCACGTCACATCCGCCAACCGCAATCAATGCGATGGACGTGCCACTGCCGGTGCCAACCGGCTGATGTGACCCTTCGGCCGTTGGATTACTGACACGTGTCCTCTCATCGCATTTATTGCTGCTATAAATAGCAGCCCATTTCTCCCTGTAAATCATCATCTACATCCGACTTCCACACGCTGAGTTCATTTAATAAAATCGACTCTCTCTCCTCCTATTTACTCTGACTTCTCTCTAAGTTATTCCCGCAATAACCCCTCGGATAAGATACCCCCCGGGTAGACTATCCATCATTTGGTGCTCTCGTTGAGAGGTCAGAACAATCAAGTAAGAAACCCTCCCCCTCTACCAAATACGAAACACTCACCAAAAATGGGGAGAACCACTCGTGCCCAATCCAAAACCCTTGAGGAGAACCACGTAGCCCCCGGCGAAACCAACGGGGCTGAGACCTCTAACAGGCTCTTGGTACCCGAGGGTGGCATCATCCTCGAGTTGGAGCAGGCTACCGCTGACCTCCGTCAGCAGCTGCAGAAGAATGCCCCTGATGCCCGCATTGGCCTTGATAATCGAAGGAGGGATCGGAGTGAGAACCAAGTTCCCCCTCCGGCCTCGGCCATCGATCTTCAGGCTGCCTTTGCGGCCTTTGTTCAAAACATGGCTCTCAATTCCGGAGCCCTCGCCTCTCAGGCACCCCTTCAGCCCTATGCTGGAGGGAATGTTATCAACCTACCACCACTCCCTCCTTTGTTCAACAACCCTCCCCGGGGGGTTGGCAACCGCGAGGGGGTCATAGCGCAGGATACCGCCTCCCAGGAGGCTCAATCCAGGGACAAGCGCCCCATAATGAAGGAGAAACCCCGGACCTCTGCACTTGAGAGGCTTGGGGGAGCTCCCGGACGCCGAGGGGTCCAAGACCGCCTCGGCAAGCAAGAATTCAGCAGGCCCCAGGAGAGTGGTGCCTCCGTTTCGGGTGCCGAGGGCGTGCCTCCCCCCCGAAGCAAAGGAAAAGCCCTCCTCCATGCCGATGACGCCAGGCACCAAATCACACAGGCGCAATCCTTCCGGGCCAACTCCCAAGGGGTTGCCCCGAAGGATCCCAAGGACGAAATCATTGAAGCCCTCCTCCGTCAACTCGAGGAGAATCGTCAGGCACCCCCGACGGCTTCCACAGCGAGGCCAGATCCAGGGTACGCTGACCTCCGGGCGCAAGTGGAGGAAATGAAGCGTAAGCTCGCCGAAGGCTCAGGCGAGCCCCTCATTCAACTCCGCACTAGGACGCCTTTCACCCCAAGGGTGCTGGCGGCCAAAATTCCCCAAAAATACCGGGGACAGCCCATCAAACCGTACGAGGGGAAGACGGATCCCCAAGAGCACTATAGCCGCTATCAAAATAGCATGATGATGATGGGGGCGTCGGATGACTACTTATGTCGTTGGTTCCTCTCCACCTTGGAGGGTCCAGCGTATGAGTGGTTCAACCGATTGCCCGAAGGCAGCATTGATTCTTGGCAAGAACTTGCCCACCGCTTTCTCACGCAATTTGCTGGGAGGCATCGCTCAAAGAAGCACTTCTCCCACCTTCTAAATGTGAGACAACAGAAGGAGGAAACCCTTCAGAGTTTCCTAGAACGCTGGAGGCAGGCCTCCCTCGAGGTCGAAGGCGCCGATGACAAAACCTTGATGGCCCTCTTCCACACCGTCCTCCGCAACGGTAACTTCTCCAGGAGTCTCATCACTGATCCCCCCCGCGATTATACCAAGGCCCTTCAGCGGGGGGACCGCTATGCCGAGGCGGAGGAAATCGAGAAGGATCGCCGCAACACAGATCCTTCCCAGAAAAATGAGGGCAGGAATCGGCCCGGAGGGCCTCCCCCTCCGGCCAACCGAGAACCACAGTACAACGATCGCTCCTGAGGTGGCCAAGCCAGACCCGGGGGCGGTTACAAGAGCAATCCGAAGGCGTGGGCGCAACCCGTCCTCCTTGAGCACCCACGTACTCCTCTGACGCACCCCGTCAGCGTCATCTTGGACCACGCAGAAGAGCGAGGGCTGGTGGAGCGAGACTCCCGTACACCCCTCGAGATTTATGCCATCGGTCCTGATGAGCCCTACTGCCGCTTTCACCGCCACCATGGACACAAAACCGACGATTGCCATCAACTGAAAAACGCCATTGAGAGGCTGATACAGGCGGGCCACTTGTCTCAGTTTATCAGGGGCCCTCCTCCCCAGGGCCCCCTTCACCATCAAGGGCCTCCGCCGAAGGCAAACAAATGGGTGAACCCCAACACCATCCCCTTGGGAAACCCACAGGGGAAGAAGCGTGAGATTGGGGGCCTCGATGACGAGGGAGAGGGCTCCCATCAACAATACAAGCGCCATATTCATATGATCAACGGCGGCAACACCGGAGGTGATTCAACAAGCCAAAGGAAGAAGTGGGCACAGTCCC